GAAGCTTTGTCTGACCTATTTTGGGCATGTTGTAAGGAGGGACCAGTCCTTGGAGAGGGACGTCATGCTTGAGAGGTTGGAGGGACAGGGCAAGAGAGGAAGACCCTCGATGAGATGGATTGATTCAGTGACTGGGGTAGTAGGGGGAGGTGTGTCAGAGACAATAAGGTTGGCTCAGGATAGAGCAGGGTTGAGGGCTGTTGTACATAGGGTTGCTATGAGTCGCAAGCGACTCAACAATAGATCATAGCAACAACAACATGTGCCAGTAGGGAGCAAGAATCTGTGTTGCAATCCCGAATCCACTTGGTTCAGATCTACCAGCTTCTCCACAGGAGAAGGGTGGGCATATCCTCCCATGTGACTGACTGCTTCTGAAAACCCATGGGAAAGTCAGGGGTGGGTTGATTCCAACTCGACGGTTCTCAACAACTCCAACAACATGTGCCAGTACCAATTCTGTGTGTGGTCGTCCCAATACCATGCTGCTTCAATAACTAGGGCTGTGCAGTGGTTTTGAAATCAGGGAATGTGACGCCTCCTACTTTGATTTTATTAGAGTTTTGCTTATTTGAGATCTCTTTCCTTTCCAAGTGAAACTGGGGATTGCCTTTTCTACCTGCGTGAAGAGTGACTCTGGTACCTGCGTTGGCATGACATTGAGTCTGTCTCTTGTTTTTGGTAGGGTCGTCATTTTCACAGTATTGAGTCTTGCTGTCTATGAACAGGGAATATATTTCCATTTAATTTTGTCTCCGTTTGTTTCTTGTAGTAGTAGCAGCGTGTGATTTTCCTTTTATAGGTCTTTTGTGTTTATAACTGTGTTTACCCCTGAGCATCTCATCTTGTGATTGGCAGCGTAAATGGTATTGCTTTTCTTGATTCCTTTCCAGTGGTGGGTTTTTTGTTGTTGTTGCTGTAGCGAAATCCACTTGATTTTTGTATTTTGAGCTTGTGTCCCCGTCACTCTGCTGAACTGGCCTGTGAGGGGTCTTGAGTTAATCTCTTTTGAGGTCTAAGGGAAGCAGAGATGGGAAAGACAGATGTCAAGGCACGTGAAAATCGCCAAAGTGCAGCTACTCAGAGGAGATGGGACCCTCCCCCAGAAGGAACGTAGGAAGAGAGCACACCTTCTCTCTGAGTCAGCACCCTGAATTTGCACTTGCTGCCACCTAAACTGTGAGAAAATAACCTTCTGTTTGTTAAAGACACCCACTGTGGTATTCCTGTCGTGGTGGTGGTGGTTGTGGACTTGTCCCGTCAGAACCAACCCACAGCTGACCCTCCAGCGGGTTTTCAGAATCAGTTCATCGCACGGGAGGAGACTGCCCATCCTTCTCGCACAGAGTAGCTGGTGGATTCAAACTGAGTGCCTTTGGGATTGCAGCACAGCGACAGGATTTGGTGCGAAGAAGTGGAGGTGATGCTCTGTCAAATACCTAACATGTGGAGATGGTTTGGGAACTGGCTGGTGAGAGGAGTGTCAGTGCCTAACTATATGAGGCTGGATTGTCGTGAAGAGACTCTTGGTGGGATTAGGGACGTCACGGGCAGTTCTCGCGAGGGCTCAGAAGAAAGTGAGGAGGGCTTGACAGAAAGACTCTGGTTTTCTGGAGAAAACATCTGGCATGATTGCAATGTCGATGTTGAAAGTGTTTCTCCTGAGGGTTTTTTTAGTTTTATTTTATTAATTTTAATGAACATTTACAGAGATTTTGGATTTCCATTCATTCATTGTTGCACTTTTCTCCCTGAACGAACCCTTCCACCCAGTACGCTCCTCTCTTTGAAAAGTAAAAGTAGAATTCTTTCATTGGTACACAATTCCCTCGCACACCTCCTCCCCCACCACCCCGATTACACTCCACTATGCAACCTTAATTCTGGACTCTTGTGATAACCACAATACCCTATCATATATCGCTTTTAAATTGTTCTCTCCCTCATCTGTTTCAATGAAGCATACATAATTTATCCAGTTTTTCTCAGTCTTACCCCAATCCTGATGTCAGTCCCATTCTACAACAGTGGCACCATGCAGTATTTGTCCTTTTGTGTGGAGATACTTCAGTCAGCATAATGTCCTCCAGGGTCACCCATTTTGAATAATGTTGCATGGTTTCCTTGTTTTTCAATGTGGCGTAGTATTCCATTGTGTGAATATACCACAGCTTCTCTATCCATTCGTTTGTTGATGGCACTTAGGTTGCTTCCACCTCTTTGCTATTGTGAACAAAGCTGTGATAAACATGCGTGTGCATATATCTGCTTGGATGGCAGTTATGGTCTCTTCGGGGTATATTCCCAGGAATGGGATTGCTAGGTCATATGGTATCTCTGCTTGCAATATTTTGAGAAAGCGCCACACCGCTTTCCACAACGATTGCACCATTTTACATTCCCACCAACAGTGAATAAGAGTTCCAGTTTCTCCACAACCTCGCCAGCATTTGTTGCTTGCTGTTATGTTAAATTTTGCTATTCTGACTGGGGTGAGATGATATCTCACAGTTGTTTTGTGTTCCACATATTTTTATGGTTCACCATAACTTTAAAATTTTGAGTCTTCCTCTGGTGCCACTTATTTAGCCACTATTAAACTTGTTTTCGTTATATGTCACCGATTCGCTTGTGACTCACAGCGACCCTATGTACAACAGCTCTGAACCCTGCTCTATCCTGTGCCAACCTTACTGTCCCTAACACCCCCACCCCCATTACCCCAGTCACTGAGTCAGTCCATTTCATCAAGGGTCTTTCTCTCCCTCCACCCTCCCAAGCATGTGGTCCCTCCTTGCAACATGTACAAAGTATGTCAGACGGAGCTTCAGAATCCTTCCCTCCAAGGAGCAGCCTGGTTTCAACCTTTCTAGGATGAACCTTTTTGTTCTCCTAGCAGTCCATGGTACTCTCAATACTCTTCTCCAGCCTCACAACTCAAAGGCATCAATTCTCCTATCATCCCTAGTCATTGTCCAGCTCTCTGATGCATAGCAAGTAGTTTCAAAGACCATCGCCTTTATCAGGCACACCTTAGTCTCCAGACTGACATTGTTGTTCTTTAGTACTTTGGAGAGGTCCCTGACACCCGACTTCCCCAATGCAATTTATCTTTTGATTTCCTGGCTGCTGGTGCCAAGAGTGTTGATTGTGGAGCCAAACAAACTAAAGCTGTTTAACAATGTCAGTCTCTTCACCATCAAACATGATGCTGCCAAGAAGGCCAGTAGTAAGAATCTTTGTTTTCTTGACGTTGAACTTCAGTCCATATTTAAGGTTGCTCTCGACCTTCTGCAGCAAATGCCTCAGGCCCTCAGTTTCAATAAGCAAGGTTGTGTCATTTGCATACATAAGCAGGTTGTTGATGAGCCTTCCTCCAATCCTGATGTCACATTCTTCCTTTACAGCCCAGCCTCCCACATGACCTGTTCTGCATATATTTCCATATATAGAATAGAATAGAATATTTCCATATAGGAAATAAAACCCATCCTTGGCACACACGTTTCCTGATTTTGAACTGTGCAGTGTGCCCTTGCCCTGTCTGACAACTGCCTTCTGGTTCAAGTTTGTTGTTGTTGTTGTTGTTATGTGCCTTCGAGTCGTTTGCGACTCATAGCGACCCTATGTACAACAGCCCTAAACTCTGCTCTATCCTGTGCCAATCGCACTGTCTCTGGCACTCCCATCCTGACTATCCCAGTCACTGAATCAATCCACCTCATAGAGGGCCTTCCCCTCCTGCGCTGTCCCTCCACCCTCCCAAGCATGATGTCCTTCTCCAAGGACCGGTCTCTCCTCACAACATGTCCAAAGTATGTTAGATGGAGCTTCAGAATCCTTGCCTCCAAGGAGCCACCCGGTTTAACCCTCTCCAGGATGAGTCTGTTTGTTTTCCTAGCAGTCCATGGTATTCTCAATACTCTTCTCCAGCACCACAGCTCAAAGGCATCAACTCTCCTTCTATCCTCCTTGGTCATTGTCCAATTCTCTGATGCATAACAAGTGATTGCAAAGACCATGGCCTGTATCAAATGCACCTTAGTCTCCAGAGTGACATTGTTGTTCTTTAGTACTTTGGAGAGGTCCCTGACAGCCGACTTTCCCATTGCAATTTGTCTTTTGATTTCCTGGCTGCTGGTGCCAAGAGTGTTGACTGTGGAGCCAAGCAAACTAAAGCTGTGAACAATTTCATTCTCTTCACCATCCATCCTGGTGCTGCCAATTGGTCCTGTGGTGAGAATCTTTGTCTTTTTGACATTGAGCCTCAATCCATATTGAAGTCTGCAGTCCTTGACACTCTGCAGCAAGTGTTTCAGGTCCTCAGTTTCAGCACACAGGGTTGTGTCGTCTGCATAATGCAGATTGTTGATAGATCTTCCACCAATAGATTTCGCAGAAGCACAGTCAAGTGTTCTGGGATTCTCATTCTTTTCAGAGTTAGCCAGTTTGTTGTGATCCACACAGTCAAATGCCTCTCTACAATCAATGAAACACAGATAGACATTCCTCTGGTACTCTGTGCTTTCAGCCACGATCCATCTAACATAAGCTATAATATCCCTAGTTCCAAGGCCTCAGTGTGCACATCTGGCAGTTCTTTGTTGATGTGCTGCTCCAGTCGTTTTTGTATAATTTTTAGCGGAATCTTGCTACCAGACTACTAGACAAGGCAGGACCAATTCCTCCTCCTGACAGATTCTTGAAGATGCAGTTAGGAATAGATCTCCTTAGTAACCTGGGGGTGGCTTGTACCTTTGTGTGCGGACTTCTGAGTTGTGTGCTGCCTAGAGGTGGGGCAGAAGTGAAATGATTGTTTTTGACCCTCATGTTGAACCTCCTCCCTGCTGGGGTTACTTTGTGACTTGGGGGGGCATGAGTAGAGCAGGAAGTCCAAATGGAGAGGCTGGTCCAGTGGGGTGTGGGTTAGGACGTGGGCTGGCCCTTGTGTGGCCACCAGTCAGGCTTTCTCCTAGCCAGCTTGCATCTCCTTTGGTTAGATCCAGACAAAGACGGTGGCCCAATGCGTGGAATATTACTACATCTGGAAGAAAATGATCAAGTTTGACTGTGGCCGAGCCCTGGGGCTAGAGAAGAGGTTCAGACGGGAGCCTGAAGAGGCAGAAAGGACAGAGGACAAGGTAGGGGCCGGGGCCAATGTGGGAACCCTGCTGAAGGTTGGTGGGCTTGGGGCAAATGCTTCTCCTGGAGGGCTGTCCCTACAGTCCACACTTGTGCCCTCCACACCCCATGTTTCTGAGGACAGTGGGGAGTCAGCACCCTCATGCAGCCTTTGCCTTCCCCACAGGTCACCTGCAGCCCTCAGGAGAGTTCCAGCCACCGTGCTACGCCCGAATTAAAGATAAAGACCAAGAGTTACCGGCGGGAGTCCATCCTCCACTCCAGCCCCAGCACAGGCCCCAAGAGGACCCCAGAGCCACCAGGGAGCGTGGAGAGCCAGGGCATCTTCCCCTGCAGGGAGTGTGAAAGGTACCACCCCCTCTTCCGGCCCCTTTTCCAGGGGGGCTCACACTGATCCCCAGTCTCAACCCAAGGCCCTCCCCTCCCCCGGACTAACTCAGTTCCCCCTCCCCTGACACTCCCTCCTCAGGGTCTTCGACAAGATCAAGAGCCGGAATGCCCACATGAAGCGGCACCGGCTCCAGGACCACGTGGAGCCCATGGCCAGGGTCAAATGGCCTGTGAAGCCCTTCCAGCTGAAGGAGGATGAAGAGGAGGAGGAGGAGATAGGGGCGGACATTGGCCCCCTGCAGTGGTGAGGCCCTCGAGAGACAGGGCCTGGTGCTGGGGTGCCCTCCCGCCCTCCCACATTCAGCCCTGCCAGCACACACCAGGCCCCACGTGTGGGTGCCGGAGCCCCACTGTCCTCTCCTCATTCAGCAGCTCGTCTCCCCTTTGGCCGTCCAGCCTCGTCCAGACCACGGAGGCGAGGCGGGTAGATCCGTGGGGCTTCAGCCTTGGCCTCAGGTTCGAGGCTGTGTTGTGTTTGTTCAGTGAGGTTAGGAGCAGCAGCTTAGGTGGGAAGGGCTTGCAGACCCAGCCTGTGAGCCTCCCTCACCTGGCCGGCTTCCCGCATTCATCTCCCAGTCACTTGTACATTGTTAGGTCGTTGTTTTTATTCTATGTTTTTTTGTATGTGTCTACTTGAAAATTTTATTAAATTGGGTTCTTGAGAAGCTGCCTTCTGGTCTTCCTCGCCTGATGATCCCAGTAGCCATTGGCTAAGATTGACCCGAGTGATCGTGACTGCGTCCGTATCTGTTAACGGTTGTGTTCTGAGAAAAGGCGGAGGGTGGTGGTAGACGGTTGACAGAGGGGCGACACTACCACCCTGCATCCGAGATCACAGGGAGGAAGAGCAGATGAGGACGACGCTACTTCCAGCGGCTGGGGCTCCATGGTTGAGGGAATTGCCGTGGGCATCACCAGGTCAACAGGAATCTCTCTCCTGCCCCCAGATTCTCTCCCTTCATCGTGGACTTGGACAAGTCCCTTCCCGTACTGGACCCTCTCATTTTTCCCATCTAGAAAATGGCATGAAAGTACCGACCCTCACCAACACGCCCACATCTCCCTTTGTGAGAAAATGTAAGAGTCTGTGGCAGGTACACCGTGTGGACTTCGCCACCTCCCATAACCCCCCGTTTCAGTTTCCCCAGCTCTCATGAAACTGCAATTATTGTCTGGGTCCCAACTTAGAGCACATCACACTGGAGGAAACGGGACAGCTTTAGCTTGTAAGTCATTTCTGACTGACCGCACAACCGTGCAGGACAGGGGACAGTCCACCAGAGTTTCCAAGGCTGTGAACCTTTCAGGAGCCGACTGCCTCGACTCTCCCTCAGAGCAGCTGCTAGGTTCAAACCACCAGCCTTTTAGTCAGCAAGCAGCACCATCACAACTCCTTAAAAGGTGGGGGCTGGGGGTGGGGGATGGTGCATTAGTTATCAGTGGAGCCATGGTTAAAGCACTTGGGGTCTTACCAGCCAGCCGCTCCAGGGGAGAAAGATGTGGCCCTCTGCCCCAGAAAGATTACAGTCTTAGGAACACAGTTCTACTGTGTTCTGTAGGATTTCTATGGGTCAGAACCAACTTCTTCATAAACTTGATAGGCATGTAATATTATTTTTTTAATTTTACTATTTTTTTGTACATGTACCGCCAAATCGGATCTGACTGGTACAGAAGGAGATTGTCCCTCCTTCTGCAGCAGAGCATCTGGTGGATTCGAGCCACGCCCCTCTGGGGTTGCAGTACAGCTTTTTGCCACTAGGCAACCAGAGCTCACTGCATAGGCGTATAATATTATAAATTAAGATCTAGGTTTAACATGTGTTTGCCTAAATTTTTTTTTCCTTGGTGGGTACATTTTTGTGTTTCCGAACATTTTAAAATGTCATTGTGTTGAAAGACAACACAAATTTGGCCATTTTAAGTGCAAAACACAGTTGCATTAGTTACGTTTATAGTGCTAGGCAGCTTGTTGTTATATACCATTGGGTTGCCTTTAACTCATAGTGACCTTATGTACAATATCTCTGAACTCTGTCCTATTCTGAACTAATCTCTGTCTCTGACACACCTGCCCCTATTACCCCAGGCACTGTGTCAGTCCCTCATCCAAGGTCTTCCTTTCCTGTGTAGCCCCTCTCCAAGGACTTGTCTCTCCTGGCAATATGCCCAAAATGTGTCAGATGGGGCTTCAAAATTGTTGCCTCCGGAGAGCAACTTGGTTTCACACTCTCTGAGACAGGCTCATTTGTTCTCTTTGAAATCCGTGGTATATTCAGTACTCTTCTCCAGCACCACAACTCAAAGGCATCAATTCTTCTATCATACTTATTCACTGTCCAGCTCTTTTGATGCATAGCAAGTAATTGTGCAGACCATGGCCCGGATCAGGTGCACTTGAGTCTCTAGACTGCTATCTTTGTACTTCAGCACTCTGGAGAGATCCCTGACAGCCGACTTTCCTAATTCAATTTGTCTTTTGGTTTCTTGACTGCTGGTTCCAAGAGTGTTACTTGTGGGCCCAACTAAGCGGAAATTGTGAACAATTAACAATCTCTTCTCCATCTTTCATGGTGCTGCCAAGTGGCCCAGTGGTGAGAATCTTTGTCTTATTGATGGTGAGCTTCAATTCATATTAACACTGCAGTCCTTTACTCTGTGCAGCAGATGTTTCAGGTCCTTTTCAGTTTCAGTGAACAAGGTTATGGCAATTGGGTGTCATCAAGTTGTTTTGAGTCTTCCTCCAATCCTGATCCCTCCTCATGAAGCCTAGCCTCCCAAATTCTGTTCCACATACAAATTGAAGAGGTATGGAGACAGGCAGCATCCCTTATGCACTATTTTTTTTTTATTTTGAACCATGTAGTGTTTCCTTGCTCTGTTCTGATGACTGCCTCCTGGCCCAAGTATAGGTTTAGCATGGGCAGAATCAGAGCGTTCTGGGATTCCCTTTCTCCTCAAGGCTAGCCACAATTTGCTGTGGCCCACACAGCCAAATGCCTTTGTGTAGTTAATGAAACACAGACATCCCTCTGGTACTCTGTGCTTTCAGCCAAGATCCGTCTAACATTGGCAATGATGTCCCTAGTGCGATGGCCTCTTCTAAACCCATTTCTCTTGTTGATGTACTATTCCAGTCGTTTTTGGATAAGCTTTAGCAAGATTTTGCTTGTATATATTAGTGATGTTGTTCAATAATTTCCACACTATCAGATCACCCTTTTTTGGAATGGGAATAAGAATGAATCTGTTTCAGTCAGCTAGCTAAGTAGCTGTCCTCCAGATTATGTAAAAAACTTTTTCCTAATCTCAGAAAGTCAGGTCCCACCCAGCCGGAGTTAGGGACTATTAAGCCAGTCCTTAACAGCCCACTTAACAACTTAACTCTTTGCTGTTGAGTAAGAATCGCCTCATAACTGACTCCAGCAGATTTTCAGAGGCTGTTAATTGCAGAATAAGCTGTAAATGGCATCTTTCACCAGCAGAGCAGTTGCTTAGAGCTCGCTTCTCAATTAACAGCACAACTCCTTCCCTGCTATGCCACCACTGATAGTTAACTCACACCTCATGTAATTGCGTCTGTTATTCATAGGGCTCTCGAAGACCTGTTATTTCACAAGTGGATGACCACCCCAGTTTCTGAGTCTGTCTGAAAGCACCCCTGAAATCTGCTCACTGTGGCTATCCCTGTTGGTATTTGAAACGTCGGTGACATAAACGAGTTGCATTGGAGAATTGCATTGGAATTTTGCATTGCAAGTTGCATTGGAGGGACCTCTTTAAATTGCTGAAGAACAAGGGTGATAGTTTAAAGAAAGACTAAAATGAGTAATTCAAGCCATGGCGTTTTTTGTTACTTCCTACGTATCTGAAAGTTGGACAATAAATAAGGAAAACAGAAGAATCCATGTCTTTGATCTGTGCAGTTGGAGAAAAGTACTGAATATTCCATTGACTGCCAAAAGAACAAACAAGTCTGGCTTGAAAAAGTGAAACCAGGGTGCTCCTTAGAGACAAAGATGGTGAAACTTCATCTCATAAACTTTGGACATTTTGTCAGGTGCTTGGAAAATAAAGGATGGATTGATACAGTGATTGCATGATAGAGATCCAGCAAGGTTCCCTCGACTCGATGGCATCTAACAACGTGTAATTGCTACACATGGATTTTCAGCTCTTCCCGTAGGAACTTCTTACGTAGAGTTAGACAAGCTCTGTTCTTAAAGAGCTCTCTTCTCAAGCAAGTCACAGCATTTCTGTTACCAGTTGATCTTTGGAGTGTTTTCACTAAACCTCCCCAAGCCAGTTTCAGCAGTCGTCGGCAGAGGGCGCCAGAAAAGGCAGGCTGTCTTTTTATTACCACACACGCCCTCCCAATTGTATGAGAATCCTGCGAGATTTAGTGCGGAGACGGCAGCTCTAAACTGCGCCAGAGAACTGTCAACAGTCACGTGAAGGCCTGTGGTCAGCTGACTAAACGTCAAAGCTCGCACAAAGGGGGTGAGCTCCAGCAGGCGAGCGCCGCTGATAATTGGTGAAATAGGATCAGAAAAGGTACCGCCCTGGGGCGGGGCTTTCATTTCGGGGATTTGGATTGGTTTATACCATCACGTGGTACAGTAAGGCGCCCTCCCCCCGCTAGAGACCACGGCACCTACGCCAATAAATGCGCATGCTTCGAAATCTGTGCCCACCGATTGGACAGCGAAGGTCACGGCGCAGTCCAGGGGCCGTCGGGGGGCGTGGCTTTGCAGCGCAAAACGTGCTATTAGGCAGCTGGTTGGTTGGCGAGGGTCACATGGCGAGGGGCCGCTGGAGGTCCAGCGCCGGTGCGACGTCAACACAGATCTGCTAGGCTGTTCGGGATCTGTCTTCCGTGACCGGGCAGCGGTTGAGTCCTTCCCAAAGGCCTGGGTCGGGCGGTTTGCCGGGTACCTTTGCCGCCGCCATGGACAACTCCGGGAAGGAAGCGGAAGCGATAGCGCTGCTGGCCGAGGCGGATCGCAAGGTGAAGAACTCGCAGTCCTTCTTCTCTGGCCTGTTTGGGTAAGAACCTCCCCAAAGGCAGTCCGAGACCTAGGTGGGTTGGAAGTGGGGTCGGAGGAAGGTTGCCTGAGGCGGTGGGGCTCAGGCGGGATATAGAGATAAGGCGACGTAGCCTAAGGTAACTAAGCGCTAAGATGCCTGTACTGTGCTGTGGCCACACGGGATGGAGAGGGGACAGCCGAGAAGGTGACGCTGTCTTTAGGCAGCTAAGGGAACTTGGGCTAAAGATGGGCCATGGAGCCAGAGGAGACCAAGACTTTGAAAGACCCTTGGTTTAGGGGTCTCAGATAGTCACAAGGTTAAGTCGCCTTCGGGAGCGCCGGGAGAATAGACTTGAAAGATCTCTGATGAACCTGGGGCCAGTTCCACTTGTCCGAGGTGTTGACACAGTGCTCGTGGAAGTGGATTTCCGTGGAGCCTGGGGTACAGGTGAGGGCAAAGGAATCTGACACTTGCTGGAGGGCACTGGGACTCGGAGGAGCCCAAGTTGGAGATGTGTCAGGTGCCTGGGATGATGAGCAGAGTTTGGGGAACTTATGCTTCAGGGGAGATCCAAGTGGAGGAATACCTGGGAGTGGTGGTAGCCTCACAGGCTAGAGAGGAATGTGCGATTGGGAATGAGGGACGCTGGCTTGGCTGAGATGGAAGAATCAAGGGAGACATGAAAGTCTGCCTTGTAATCACAAGCAAGTAATAATAGGGAGCTCCAGGGACAGGGCCTGAGGCGGGCCGAGAAGAAGGTTGGAAGGGCTCCTGTGAGGCAGAACTAATGTGTCAGACCAGACAGCTCTGAGTAAGGATGCCTAAGTGCTTAGAAGCAAGCCTGGGACTTGCTGGAAGCTTGGGGAGTATTACTCACTAAAATTGCATCAAATCAGAACCAGCTCAGAGCTAACCTTCCGTCAGGTGTTTCTGAGACTATAAATTGCACAGGAGGCGATTGCCTCTCTCTCCCACAGGGCCATTAGTGGCTTTGAACCTCCAGCAAGGGATCGCCTTTGGGTTAGCAGTGCATGTCCCTATGGACTACTCCATCAGAGCTCCTGCTATATGGGGGGGCTGTTAGCTGTTGCGAGTAGGGCAGTGGCCCTAGACTTGCAGCGTTAGAGGACTCCAGGCAGAGGAAGTGGGGAGCCCCGGAGAATTGGTGGGGAGGATGCTCGGGAAGGAGCTAGAACGGGTGAAGGTGAGATTGTCAGGACTGTGAAGACGAGGAGAGAGGAATTGGTGGTTTGAAGAACTAAGAGTGACGTGCTGGCAGCCTGTGAGCGATCCGTGAGCTTTTCACTGGAAGGTCAGCTGTATAGACTTGAGTGGAAGGTCTGACAGTCGACTCTGGTCGAGATCGGAAATGCTGTAGGGTACTTCCCTTGTCGCTGGGAGTCACAGTCAACCGAACAGCATCTAATAACAGCAGCAGAGTGAGGAAGGTGCTCTCCCTGGGGGTGTCAACAGTTGGGTGGTCAGCTGCTAGCCTAAAAGGTTGGCAGTTCAAAGCTCTCCAGAGGCACCGTGGAAAAAGCCTGGCGATTTGCTTCCGAGCGGTCTCAGCCGTGGAAACGCTGTACTGCTGTGTACACAAGGGTCACGTGAGTCACAGTGGACTCCACAACAACTCACAGCAGAGACCAGCCGCAAGCGGGGCTCAGACCCTGAGAGAGGCAGAGGCGAGCAAAGGATGGGGTCTGGGGACTGGGTGAGCCCCCAGAAGTCTGGGGACTGGATGTGGGAGGAGGGCACAGGGTCGGGAAGAGATTGTCAGCAGCTCAGCAGGGTTTGGGAAGAAGTTAACACAGAGGAGATGGTAGAGGAAGGAGGCTTTTGTGATTTGAGGGTGGATGGTGTGTAGCAAAAGAATTTCTCAACATAGAGAAGCGTCTTGAGATGGAGGATTCAATTGATTAGGTGAGGAAAGTTTTGGAAAATGAGAGGGAAGGGGAGTGTGTGTTTTCTGCTTTGCAAGGGGAGAAGTTCAAGTGCTGCATCTTAGAGGCGGGGCCAAGAGCTCAGTTTCAGGTAGTAGTTTTCCTGGGTGGTTCTGAGTGTCAGGGCACATCTAACTAGTTGGGGCGCCTTTGCTTTGCACTTACCAGGAACAGCGAATGTGAGCCCTTGAGGCACGTGCAGGCTGCCTCAGAAGGCAAGATTCCCGTCCTGTCAGCGTGTAAGGCAGCAGAGAAAGGGCCCATGACGTTTCACAGGCTGTTGGCCTTTTTGGGAGCAGATTTGCCAGCCCTTTTCTCTGTCGGAGCGACGCTGGGAGTAAGCCACTGCGTGCTTTTACCACTGTACTGACAGGCCTCTGTGAAACTAGATTAAACCAGAACCCACTGTCGAGCCGAATCCTCATGGTGACCCTCTGTCCAGTTTCCAAGGCTGTAAATATTTCTCCCATGCAGTGACTGGCGGGTTCAAACTGCCAACCTTTCAGCCAGCAGCCCAGCGCTTACCCTACAGTGCCAACAGGGCACTTCCCAGATGATCAAAGCAGACTTGTGTTTGGAACGTGGGTTGGGCTGTGCAGTGAAGTTCTGAAAAGGGAGGAAGGCTCGCTGAAGAGTGAGCCGAGGGTTTGCTGAGGGAGCGGGACCTGGGAGCGTGCTCTGGGCTGCAGGATCAGGGCAAACAAATCAGGTTCTGCCTAGGGTGACAGAGGACCAGGTTGTGGGGGAGGAAGCAGGGGGCTTCCAGGAGAGGAAGCTAGTCAGGCTCCAGTGATGGCAATAAAGGGGGTCCTGGTACTGTACTCTGGTGGGGTGTCCACGGGGTGGGGCAAGCACTGGAGGCCGATGGAACCTGAAAGCTTTGAACTTCAAGGGACTTCCATGTCATTGTGGTGGTGAGTCAGTTCCAACACAGCCGCGCTCCAAGCCCGTGGCCTTGGAGTTTAAAATTAGAATGTGGAGAAGGGGCAAGTGAAGCCAGCGATGGGAACAGGGGCGAGCCGTGGTCCAGAGGGCCTGGCAACATAGGGCTTGGGCTTGAGGAGGTGCTGGAGAGCCTGGAGGACCTGAGCAGCTGGCGTGCGGGGCGGATGAGGTGTGGGAAGAGCAGAGAAGGCGGAAGGCAGAGGACTGGTGCAGAAATAACAATAATAATACCTCTCGCCGTTAGCGGCAACTCCCCGCCATGTGTCAGCAGAGGAGGACTGCTCCAGACGTTTTCTGTTTCCTCAGCTGGAATCTACGGAAGTGGATTACCAGCCAGGCCTCTGTAACCACAGGGCTGCTGGGCGAGTTCAAACCACCAGCCACCAGTGGTCAAGCCAGTGCCATTCGCACCACCCAGAAATTGTAACAACCTGAAAAAACTGGTTTGATCTTGACTCACAGTGACCCTGCAGAGCAGAGTAACATTTTCCCATAGAATTTTCGAGGCTGTAATCTTTACGGGAACAAGCCATCTCGTCGTCTTCTGTGCAACAGCTGGTAGATTTGAACCAGTGACCTTCAAGTTAGCAACCAAGGAACTAACCACTCTGCCACCAGGGCAGATGTTGATTTTAAGTGCTCAGTTGGAGTCTTGAGTCACGTCTAGCCTGGCACTTTACCGGCTTCTCTCATTTGCCGTCATTCGATGCTGTCAGGTTATTACTGACTAACAGCATCGCCGTCACAGAAGCGGACTGCCGGTCTTTGTCCCCCAGAACTCCTGGCTGGCTGTGAACTGCCAACTTTCAGTTAGCAGTCAGGCACCCCCAGGGCACCTTTCTCTCCAAGTTCCCGTGGAGGCAGTCAGGGAGCTGCTTGAAGAAGTTGATTTTTCTGAGAGGTGGCATCCCCGCCCAGGTCTGCCTGAGCCCAGAGCTCTTTTTCCTCAGTGGCTGCATTTAGAGGCACCCATTCAGGGCCCGGTGTTTTAAGAAGGGAGTTGGCCATCTGGCTGCACCAGGAGCTGCTGTCTCCTTGTCCTCTACCTCCTTGATCAAGGCAGGGCTATTTGCTCCAAATACTTGAGAGACTAGGCCCTTCCGGCTTCAGAGTCCCTTCTCTTTCCCTGAGTTGTTAAGATGGTACTGAGAGAGGGATGTGGGCCAGGTGAGGAGCCTGGTTGGGAGCAAAGCAGGGGATTGGCTGGGGAGAGGCCAGCTCAGAGCATCCCGCTTCAGGGGCCTCCTCTCTGGAGGTTCAGTGGCACCGCCTTCCTTCTTGTCTGTTGGACATTTCACCACCTCTCCTTCTCCAGGAGTGCCTACAGGGAAGTGTTGGGGCTCATCTTAGCCCTGGGGCTTCCCCTTCTCTTCAGGGACCCTCGGTGGGGGTCATAGCTGAATGTCAAATGGGTCGGGCAGAACCTCTCAGCAGCTACTCGGCTGTCAGGTGCTTGGCGTCCCTTTCTCGCCGCCTCGTTTCTGGGCCGCCCAACACTGGAGGCTTTGATGCGTCACCAGCAAACAGTTACAGCAAAAGCCAGAGCCGCCTCTTCCTCCCCTTGTGCCCCTCCCTCTGCACCCCACACTGCCTAGAGGGAGCCATGGGGGCAGGGACCGGAGGCCTCAACTTCCTTGTGGGGTTTCCCGAGGGAACATCAAACAAGGCTCAGAAGATATTCCCGCTCAGTGTCCCATCCTTCCCAGAGCCCCTCTCCACTGGGCCCCCAGGGGTCCTGCACATTCTGCGTTCTGCCTGTGCCCTGCAACCTTACCTCTTCCTCCAACACCCCTCAGAAAGTCCAGACTCAAAACTCCTCTCTCTGACATTTCAGATGCCAGCAGGGTCACCCACAGTGCACAGGTTTCCTCTTCCAGACTAAGACAGGTTAGCAAGCGGGGTTGGCCAGCCACTTCTGAGACAGCAGGTCTTCAGAAACGCCATGCAGAACAACAGGATCCGGTCTGAGCCAGCGCCAGGACAGAGCGGGGCAGCATCTGGCAGGGTTTCATTCTTTAGTACAAGGGTCACACTGCTGGCGTCACCTGGAGGTCGCAGTCTGACTGACGCAAGAATCTCTCTACTGCTTGTTGTTAGTGAGAGTCATTCTTTTTGCTGCTGAGTCGGCTC